CGTGAATGATGTGTTTTAGATGTGACTGATAAAATTATTAATTTAGATGAAGTCAGGTTATGTTAGATTAGATATATCAGAATAAGTTACATGTAATTGAAAACACCATTTAAGGTTAATTGCTAATTTTTTTTCAATTCACACTAGTGTTAAATTTCTAACAACAGCAGTTAAAAAATAGTTTCCGATCCTAATATTGGCAGAACACATTTTTTCTTAACACAAACGCAACATCGAAGTTCCGGTGCAAAACAGTAGCGAAAGGTCAACAAATTACGCGAACTTGCGTTTCTTGTTTCGCAAACTTCCTCGATCCATTGAAGGCAAGAAACAACGTAAACAAAACTGTAACGTTGTTCTATATGCCTTACAGATACAACTACAGCGGTGCTCGGTTTGTTTTCCAAAGTATCGTTCGAAGTTTGCGTAACTTTGGATGCTGTTCTTCCAAATGCAACGTAATTTAAAAATAGTCGAACTTTTCGCACATAACGAATATACGAAGACTAAAATATTAGGCTTTCTACTCTTCATCTACCTTTCTACTTTGCGAACTCTTACGTTTAGCGGACACTTTTTGCGAAGGCGATATACTCTTGTTATATTGCCACTTTCGAGAAGAATTTTGAAGGATTTTAATAGCAAATATTGCATTGTATAAAACTGTATGCAATGTGTGATTGATTAAGATTTCATATTTTTATAGTTTCATGGATAGAGTTCAATGGCGATATAACGAGAGTCTGAAATATGAACAAAAATTGAAATAATATTTTTGTAACTTCGTTAATAGCGTACAACGGCGATATATCGAGAGACTTTGAAATAATATTTTTATGGTTTCATTGATATCGTTAAATGGCGATATAACGAGAGTCTTTGAAATATTAACCAAAACTGAAATAATATTTCTACAATTTCACTGATATCATTAAATGGCGATATAACAAGAGTCTTAGAAATAATATTTCTGTAGTTTCGTAAATATCGTTAAATGGCGATATAACAAGAGTCTTTGAAATATTAACCAAAACTGAAATAATATTTCTACAGGTTCATTGATATCATTAAATGGCGATATAACAAGAGTCTTCCAAAAAAATATTTCTATAGTTTCACTGATATCGATCAATGGCAATATAACAAGAGTCTTTGAAATATTAACAAAAATTGCAATAATAATTCTCTAGTTTCATCAATATCACTCAATGGCGATATAACGAGAGATTTAAAGTAAATAACCGTTAAAACGGTTTAAATATACGTATCATAATTTCGGTTATGCTTGGTAATTTCGAAATCGCGGCTCGAAGCTTTTAATCGTAAAAAAGGAGCCCACGAATTATATGGCAGGGCCCCCGGTGTTGTCCGACCAAGTTTTCGGCGTGAAATATACGCGGGTGGCGTTAAGTAGCATATAAATATGATAATTTCGCGAAGAAGCAGCGACACTCGTAAATCTGACGTTATGCAAATGTTTGAGCTCGCGTGCTCCTCGAATTGTTACAGAACGTTTCTTTCTTTTCCTCGCCTCGTTTTTTTACCGTTGAAAATTCTCCGCGAAAACACGATTTTATTCGAAACTTTCTAGCCAACCTCTCGCCTTAATTATCGTCAATATTTTATACCTGAGGTAAACGTGTATCCAACGCTAGGCCGTACTTTACGAAACAGTTTCGTGAACTTTCAACGAATGAATGTCTAAGCAATTAAGTCGGCGTGAAACTGCTCGAAACGTTCTAAAACATTCGAGACACGGCGTTTGAGTTTGAAACGGCAATAAATACAATGCGAAACGTTCCAGCCCCCTCGGGGGCGAATTTGTAATATTCATGATATAACGAATGAATATGCGTGTGTATATGACGTACAACACATAATTATTCCAATGGCTTTCGCCGGATCGGCAGAAATAATTTCACTCTTTTATGTGAAATGTACAGGACCGTTTCGTAGACTTACGCAATGCCCTACATTCCGCGAAATAATTAACTGAAGATTTAATTAAAAGAAAAATAACACTGGACCTCATTTACTACGTTTCTGAACTTTATTACTGGATTCAATCACAGAGATATTAATGAGGGTGGTTTTTATTCAAAGAGATTTTAATCAAAGTAATGTCTTCTCATCACGTTAATATCTCGATTAAATTTAAGAGAAAACGCAACGAAAGTTCTAGACGGTGGACACTCGCGTCAAGCACGTCCGCGGTCATTTTGTTTTCCGTCAAATTACACACAGCGATCGACAATTATCGGAACGAGTTTAAACGACTCTGAATTTTCAATTCTCTCCAACAAAAAATGTTAAGGAAGATCATTAAACAGGTTATTACGCTTCACAGAAACACTTCACAAGAAAATATTAAACGATAGGAAAGAATTTACCTTGCAGTATAATCACGGATATTTCGCCCGGTTATAACACGAAGCTTCGGAACATCGATGGAAGAATCGAGCAAAATTTGCCTTCGCGTCAAACATCGAAAGCTCCGGATTTATCTAGAGGCGCTTTGAAGCATTCCAGACGTTTCACCCTCTCCCGATTCCTCTTTGGTGCTTTTAAATCGCCAGACGCCTTCTAAGACGCCGTCCGTCAAATTCCGACCGATAAACGAACACCAGACACTGCACTTCAAACGCGCGCCAAATTTCGCGTCTGCCCCGATACTTATCGCGACCACTTCCGTTTACCCTTCGTTCACTCACGCGAACACTTCGAATCGCGATAACGCACTGATATCGATCAATGGCAATATAACAAGAGTCTTTGAAATATTAACAAAAATTGCAATAATAATTCTCTAGTTTCATCAATATCACTCAATGGCGATATAACGAGAGATTTAAAGTAAATAACCGTTAAAACGGTTTAAATATACGTATCATAATTTCGGTTATGCTTGGTAATTTCGAAATCGCGGCTCGAAGCTTTTAATCGTAAAAAAGGAGCCCACGAATTATATGGCAGGGCCCCCGGTGTTGTCCGACCAAGTTTTCGGCGTGAAATATACGCGGGTGGCGTTAAGTAGCATATAAATATGATAATTTCGCGAAGAAGCAGCGACACTCGTAAATCTGACGTTATGCAAATGTTTGAGCTCGCGTGCTCCTCGAATTGTTACAGAACGTTTCTTTCTTTTCCTCGCCTCGTTTTTTTACCGTTGAAAATTCTCCGCGAAAACACGATTTTATTCGAAACTTTCTAGCCAACCTCTCGCCTTAATTATCGTCAATATTTTATACCTGAGGTAAACGTGTATCCAACGCTAGGCCGTACTTTACGAAACAGTTTCGTGAACTTTCAACGAATGAATGTCTAAGCAATTAAGTCGGCGTGAAACTGCTCGAAACGTTCTAAAACATTCGAGACACGGCGTTTGAGTTTGAAACGGCAATAAATACAATGCGAAACGTTCCAGCCCCCTCGGGGGCGAATTTGTAATATTCATGATATAACGAATGAATATGCGTGTGTATATGACGTACAACACATAATTATTCCAATGGCTTTCGCCGGATCGGCAGAAATAATTTCACTCTTTTATGTGAAATGTACAGGACCGTTTCGTAGACTTACGCAATGCCCTACATTCCGCGAAATAATTAACTGAAGATTTAATTAAAAGAAAAATAACACTGGACCTCATTTACTACGTTTCTGAACTTTATTACTGGATTCAATCACAGAGATATTAATGAGGGTGGTTTTTATTCAAAGAGATTTTAATCAAAGTAATGTCTTCTCATCACGTTAATATCTCGATTAAATTTAAGAGAAAACGCAACGAAAGTTCTAGACGGTGGACACTCGCGTCAAGCACGTCCGCGGTCATTTTGTTTTCCGTCAAATTACACACAGCGATCGACAATTATCGGAACGAGTTTAAACGACTCTGAATTTTCAATTCTCTCCAACAAAAAATGTTAAGGAAGATCATTAAACAGGTTATTACGCTTCACAGAAACACTTCACAAGAAAATATTAAACGATAGGAAAGAATTTACCTTGCAGTATAATCACGGATATTTCGCCCGGTTATAACACGAAGCTTCGGAACATCGATGGAAGAATCGAGCAAAATTTGCCTTCGCGTCAAACATCGAAAGCTCCGGATTTATCTAGAGGCGCTTTGAAGCATTCCAGACGTTTCACCCTCTCCCGATTCCTCTTTGGTGCTTTTAAATCGCCAGACGCCTTCTAAGACGCCGTCCGTCAAATTCCGACCGATAAACGAACACCAGACACTGCACTTCAAACGCGCGCCAAATTTCGCGTCTGCCCCGATACTTATCGCGACCACTTCCGTTTACCCTTCGTTCACTCACGCGAACACTTCGAATCGCGATAACGCACGATCGGTGTCGGCGAATTTTCGGAAAGGCTCGTGACCGTTCGGCCGGTCACGTGCTCGACGCCGTGCACTGACCGGTCGTTTAATACGAAGCAGCTGCGAGAACCGTTAAAGGTCTTCGGCGTTATTTCCTGTACGGAAAAAAAAACTGACCGATACACGAGAAACCCTCGAAGTACCGTAAACGAGATCTCGGAGACACCGTCGCGGTTTTATGGGGTGAATTTAAGAAAGCAGACTCACCGTGGACACGATGCTCCCGCCACTCGAACTCCCCCGAAGAAACGTCACCGATTCGAAGAAAATTCACTGTTTCACTTGACTCGACGATCACTGTCGATTTCTTTCGTTCACCAGTCACGAGTTCGATGATTTATGGCAAACGACTTTATTCGATCATTTATTTAACGAAGTATACTCGCACGAATTCGTGTCTCGTCGACCGCGCTGCGTCCGTGCGTACAACCGTTCGACTCGGAGTCTCGCGCTCAACTGGTCTCCGCTCGTTGGCGCGGATTTCTGGTCGGCCAATCGGCGGCGAGACTGCGCGGCGCGTCGCGACTTTGCCTCGTGTGTATCGTACCTTAGGTTTAACCCCCGTCGCTACACGCTCCCCCTCCTCGCCCACCCCGCCACTCGCGGAATTACGTGTCTCTATTCTCTCTCCGTTTCTCTCCGTACACGTCTCCCTCTTTCCCTCGAGCATTTTCTCACTCTCGCTGTCACTCTTTTATCGGGGAAACTCTCTCTGTAACGGGGTAGCGATGAACGTTCAATTTTACCGACCAACTTTTTGACTTCGACAAACTTATCGCGCAAATATCGGATATCATGCTTTATTCGGGGTATCTGCAACTCTTGTTAACGGAAATTTATTGAAGATGTTTTGTCAAGTTTGGATGTATGTTCAAATATGTTAAGTGAAAAAAATTATAATTCTTAATGAGATGGTAAGTTTAATGACAGTTTGTGTTTGAGGTTAAAAGAGGAAGTGACTCAATTTTTTAGGTAATTGTATTTATTTTAATATAACAATTGTTACAATATATTACTATATGTACTATTCTACAATTCGACTTATACATAACTATACATTTCAGTGTCTTTACCTCTGAATGCAGTGTCTGACATTTTACCATTCTTCACTTCCTTTGACAATGTAGCATTGATGACGTCACTCTGCAGAAAATTGTAGGTTAAGTAATATTTGACATATATCTCTTCTTTCTATTTTATAACTCAATGATTTTAAATCGTTTCAGGTTGTCATTAATAATAGCTGTGAATTCTAATGAGAATTATTGAATTTTAATGATACGAGGATCACCTGACAAGCGAATTGAAATATCGAGTTTCGGACGATCCTTTCTCGTGATTTGTTGGTTTAATAGTTGTACGTAATTCGATATTGCTGTGTTAATATTACCGAATTATTTTCATAAATTTCAACACTTCAACAGGTATAACCACTTTTCCGCCTACGAAACTATAATGATTAATAGCGTATTAGAGCAGCGGAAGTTAGTACCCCATAGCGCCACCAGAAGGCAGGTTAGGGTTGGTCGTACATTTGACGGAACATGAAAGCTTTTCAAATTCATGGTAAAACTTTTATGACACTTTATAAATTAATAAACGGTATAATAAATTAATGTAATTATGGACAACGTTTTATATTAAAAACAAAAAGAAAAAATATTAACAATTGTTAATTTTCTTTGCAGGTGTATTGATTATTTATGTGATTATTACTGATAGCTTTATTTAGTGAATTTTTATAAAAAATTAAAAACTTGCTACTGTACTAGTACACATACATATTTTATTATTTGTATTTGATGTATATTTCATGATTTACTTTTGACACACTTTATTTCATAATTTTAAAGAAAATGATACACTTTGTATTCATTCAAAGTTAAAAGGGGTTGTAAAAATGTTCCGTCGAAATTTACGAACTTTGCAACTAGAATTTATAAATTTAACAAGTACAAAGATAATTTATGATCTCCTATAATACTATTTAACTGTAAGAACATTGTTTTTTTGTAGATTTATAGTTTTGTAAGTAGAGGGTGACTCATTTTAATCTTTAAATGGATATATATGGGGAAGTACATCGAGTTGAAAGTTGAATATACGAGGGTTGGAGGAAGTCGAGGGAAGCACTAGAATGTCAAGAAGGAAGGTCTGTGGGAAACGAAACGTAACTCAACTCTATTATCAGTTCTACTTGTTAGAATATTTCCTTTGACATTTTCTTCTTCGATGTTCTCCTTTGATTTACTTTCTTTTGCTGACAATTATATTTACTGTTCTACTTCTATTTTATTTTGTTTGGTCTATTTGAGATTTTGGGTTTTTTTGGGGGTTTAAGAATTTTTATATTTGGAGGTCTAAGGATTTTTATATTTGGAGATTTAAGGATTTTTATATTTGGAATTTTGGAAATTTAGAAATTTAGAAATTTGGGAATTTGAAGGTTTAGAGGGGATGAAACTTGGGGGTTCCAAAATTTGGAAATTAGGGAATTTGGATATTTGGAATGTAGGCGGTGTGGAAAGGGGATTTGAAAATTGGGAAATTTAGGGATTGGGAAATTAGGGAATTTGAAGGTTTAGGATATGGGGGATGTAGAAATTTGTGGTTTGAGAATTTGGAAAGTTAGAGATTGGCACATTAGGGAATTTAGTTATATAGAACATAGGGGATGTGAAAATTTGGGGGATTGACAATTGAAAAATTAAAAAATTTGTATATTATGGAATTTGCACATATAGGACATATGTGATGTAGATATGTAAGGAATTGAAGATTTGAAAATTAGAGGATTTGTACACAAAGTTGTATAGAATGTGGGGTAAATAAAAATTAATACATGACTACACTTAGCAACAAAACCAAAAGTACCAACTTCACAATTACTCACCATTAAATAAAAACAATAATAATTGACAAACGTAACACACGTCCACATGGTTACTGCATATCCTCAGTCAATAAAATCCGCTACTTAAGCACGCGTTTATTCGGTAACGAAAAATATCCAGTCCGCAGCCTCATCGCGTTAAATCTCCGCCATTCTCTTTCTGGGTACTCGAAACGCGTTACATAACTTTTACGCAACTTCCTGCAGACATAACAGGATACGGTTGAAAAACACGAGCACAGAAAGAAAGTTCCCTTCGTATCGACTCGCGTTCGTTTATTACGACCTATAGCCGCATATACTTACCGTCTTCTTTCTCCTCGCGTCTATCAACCCTCGTTTCTCCCCTCTTTCTCTATCTTTCCCTAGCAATTCCACAGGGGGTTCCGCATAATGCTTTTTTCAGCCAGCCCTCGGTACACCGGGACACGGGACTATCCGTAGCAGCCTGGTCGCCCCGAGTGACGCGAAATTTTTCCTTTTTTTTCCCTCGAAACGACTTTCCATTCGAGTACACGAATCCTCGGCACCCCCGAGGCGAGCTCCCGTGAATTATCCGAGTGCCTTCGGTAATTCCTTTGGGAATCGTTTTGCATAATGTTAAGAAAATACTAGTAAAAGGCCGCGCGATATTGCCGCAACACTCGACCGATCATATGGCAAAAATTCCACGTTTCTAATTCCTGCTTGCTTGTCTTTTTGCCGCGGACGTGCAGGAATTATTGGGAATTATGTTGGACAGCTAATGAAAGAGCAGTTTGTTCGTAAATCTTTGGCTCGGTGCGATGCTGCGCATACCTCGAGTGGATTTACTATTTTCTGATCGATAATATTTGCTCGGATGGAGATAGCTAATAAGGGATTTATTTATATTTATTTGTTATTGGCTTTTAATGGTTTACATGTGGAAACGTTTTAAGAGTCAGGTGCCTCTTGGGGAGGGGTTGAATTTTTTTTTTAGTTAGTGATTTATTTCTTAGCTTTAAGTATGTTATGTTATAAGGTACATTGTAATTAGTTCATTAAGAATTATATGAATTATAAGAATTATAAGAATTATAAGTATTATAAGAATTATAAGAATTATAAGAATTGTAAGGACACGGGACTATCCGTAGCAGCCTGGTCGCCCCGAGTGACGCGAAATTTTTCCTTTTTTTTCCCTCGAAACGACTTTCCATTCGAGTACACGAATCCTCGGCACCCCCGAGGCGAGCTCCCGTGAATTATCCGAGTGCCTTCGGTAATTCCTTTGGGAATCGTTTTGCATAATGTTAAGAAAATACTAGTAAAAGGCCGCGCGATATTGCCGCAACACTCGACCGATCATATGGCAAAAATTCCACGTTTCTAATTCCTGCTTGCTTGTCTTTTTGCCGCGGACGTGCAGGAATTATTGGGAATTATGTTGGACAGCTAATGAAAGAGCAGTTTGTTCGTAAATCTTTGGCTCGGTGCGATGCTGCGCATACCTCGAGTGGATTTACTATTTTCTGATCGATAATATTTGCTCGGATGGAGATAGCTAATAAGGGATTTATTTATATTTATTTGTTATTGGCTTTTAATGGTTTACATGTGGAAACGTTTTAAGAGTCAGGTGCCTCTTGGGGAGGGGTTGAATTTTTTTTTTAGTTAGTGATTTATTTCTTAGCTTTAAGTATGTTATGTTATAAGGTACATTGTAATTAGTTCATTAAGAATTATATGAATTATAAGAATTATAAGAATTATAAGTATTATAAGAATTATAAGAATTATAAGAATTGTAAGAATTATATGAATTATATGAATTATATGAATTATATGAATTATATGAATTATATGAATTATATGAATTATATGAATTATATGAATTATATGAATTATATGAATTATATGAATTATATGAATTATATGAATTATATGAATTATATGAATTATATGAATTATATGAATTATATGAATTATATGAATTATATGAATTATATGAATTATATGAATTATATGAATTATATGAATTATATGAATTATATGAATTATATGAATTATATGAATTATATGAATTATATGAATTATATGAATTATATGAATTATATGAATTATATGAATTATATGAATTATATGAATTATATGAATTATATGAATTATATGAATTATATGAATTATATGAATTATATGAATTATATGAATTATATGAATTATATGAATTATATGAATTATATGAATTATATGAATTATATGAATTATAAGTATTATAAGAAATATAAAAATTATAAGAATTATAAGAGTTATAAGAATTATAAAAATTATAAAAATTATAAGAATTATAAGAATTATAAAAATTATTGTAATTTTTGACTGATTGTTTAATATTTTAACTGTGTTATGTCAATACACCTGTATTAAGTCAATTAACAATTTTGGGATTCAATATATAATTTGATTTATTTAACTAAAATGGCTGTCTGAGGTTTTTAACTAAAAATTAAAATTTTACTTTTAATTTAAACTTGTAAAATTATAATTTTAAATGTGGACTCTGTATCAATTAAAAATTAATAAATACAAAGTCAATGACAATTAAAATTTCATTTTTAATTCAAACTTGTCAAATTTTTATTTTAATATGGCACTGTATTGTCCATTAAAAATTAATAAATACATAATAAATGACAATTAAAATTTCACTTTTAATTTAACCTTGTCAAATTTTAATTTTAACTGGAACACTGAACTGTCCATTAAAAACGAATAAATCTTCAATGACAGTTAAAATTTCATTTTTAATTCAAACTCATCAAATTTTTATTTTAATCAAAGACAGAATTATCAAATAAAAATTAATAAATCTTCAATGAAAATTAACTTTCAATCCTCAAGTTTAAATTGAAGATTAAATATTTGTGTTTGGATTATACTTTAATCGTTCGATTTAATAAAGTACGTCAGAACCCACATGAGTGTGTGAAGAATGAATCATCCGTGAACGAGAGCAAAAGATATCAGTGTAAACTGAGTCACTAGATTAGGGCCGAGATTAAGACTAGATTTTTGATAACATCAATGTAATTGGAAACGTTGGAAAACATTAGTGAAAGGAAAACGACTTCCAATAGATTGGTTTTCATAAGCTTTTTTCCATACCAATTTGTAGCTATAATTAAATTGCTTTATGAAACCCAAACAGAAATAAATCATAGATAATGTAACGTTACAGATTGAAATTTAAATTAAGGTTGAGAAGTAATTATTTATATTTGTAAATTGTTAATTTAATTGAGGGGGTATTTGCAGATCGTGGTATTCGAGACGATGGTATTCGAGGCAATAGAATTCGAGATAGTAGCATTCGAGGTCATAGAATTCGGGATAGTAGTATTTGGGACGATGGTATTCGGTAATGATGGTAATCGGAACGATAGTACTCGGAAATAGTGGTATTCGAGACGGTAGTATTCGGTAATCGTGGTATTCGGAACGATAGTATTCAATAATGATGGTATTCGAGACAATAGTATTCGGGGCAATAGAATTCGAGGTAATAGAATTCGGGATA